ACTAAAGGCAATGGTCGAGCGCAAGTTCCTCGGTTCGTATGCCCGTTTGCTTTCAACGCTGTCTCTACTGCTTAAGAGTCGTTTGTTTTAGGCAGAAAAAACCGACTCGGTTGTTTCGACTACACGACGGCCAAGATGCTGAGGAGGCCCAACAAAGGCGCGTTGGAAATATTCAAAGTTAACGCGAAATCTCCGAAAGGATGGTGATCAAGGCTTCCTTCTATTAGCTTGCGATGATTCATCTAATTAACAACAGTGTTTTCAGCGATTCGACTGAAGATCGACAGATGCGAATAGTTGGTCGTTTCGTTAACGAAGCAGTACTCTGTTTGCAGGAAGACATCATTTCGACTCCGGTGAGTTTTCACTCTCAATGTATTATATCGTTCATAACGTGAATAGGACTTCTTCACATGTTTGCCATTGACCATTATTTATTCTTGACGATAGTAACGAAGTCGGTGCTTTTTCTTAAATTCGTTTCAAGATTTCTGTAATACGTCGAATATTTAATTTTTACAGTTTATGCGTTTTGCTGATTGGTAATCAACATGTAGATGGGCAAAAGAGAATTGCATCAGAAAGCGGCACGTGATATGACGCATGGCTGTTTGTCTCTCACCTTCTGGTATGACCATATCATAACATCATGCTCTGCCTCCTGTTGGCCGACCGACGACTTGCTACACGTTTCTCAGCTGGTTGCACCGAAGAATAGGGAATTCTTTGCTCGAGCGAATTACCAGCTATTGAGAAATTTCACCCCGCTTATCAGGTTTTATCCATTACCTCCAGAGTGCAACGTCAGATACTCGTCCATTGTACCACTGCTCCGTAAATAAAATTACCTGGTTGTCTGAACTATTCGAGTGCGTTGTTCACGGTTTTGTTTCCAACTCAGGTAAGGTGGACTTGCTCATTATGGATCTGCTCATTTTTCATCCCAAATATTCGACGTTACTGAAGGCATTACAGGAAAGGGTATTCCTCCTACTTGACTCATTGAGCGCTGCCATCTCTGGCGATGAGGTAACCGACTTATTTAAATAGGTCGACTGCATCTTCCGTTTTGCCCCCACCGTTCTCATGATCGTTGCAGAAGTTTAATATTCCTGACTACTGGACTTCCACGTCGGTGATTCTACTTTATAAAACGGATAGGGAGAAGATGTGAAGAATTACCAGCCGGTCAGTTTTTTACTAGTAATGTACAAGATCTTCACAAAGGTACTGGCGGACAGACTTCGAAACTTCTGGACGTTGCGCACTCAGCGGGGCTAGCAAGATTAAGAAGTGGATTTAGTACGATAGTTCATCTCCAGTGCTACAGCAAGTAAATCAGACAAGCAACGACTATTAGCTTCCCCTGTACCCGTCGATTTCGAGTTCGATTTCGACTCTTTGCACTCGATCTGTATACAATATTCTGTGAGAAGTGACAGAAATTTCATCGCCATGATTTAAATAATGCGACTGCTAATGTGAAGCTTCACGAAGGCACAAGCTAGTTCAAAATCGAAGGGGGCATCTGAGATGATGCAGTGTCACCGTAGTTATTTGGAACTAAAAGAGGTTTTCAATCAGGGTCTGAACAAAAAATGGCACTCTTATACCAGGACTTGCGGTTTTCTGACAATTTTATGATCCTCTCTGAGCTACCATAGAGTCAAGAGAGCATTCCATCAGCTGAACGACACCAGCATCTTAGTAACACTGTAAAACATGACTAAGGCCATGTTTAACAAATAGTGACCCCGCGACTTATTGAAAACAATGTACTTAGGCTTGAATCGATGTGAAACGGTGTCTGTCCCTGATAGGTCATTTCTACAATATAGAACTGACTGCCAAATCAGCAGAGGAGCGGAGTTATCATGGAGCACATTCGGTATATTGAAAATGTGAATATTTGGAAGACTGCTCATGTGCTTCGGACAGAAGTGTTCGATCAGTACGTGCTCCCAATGCTGACCTGTGGATGAACGCTATTCTTTAACTGCAGACTAGGCAACACAGCATAAGAAGGTGTATGTTGGGATTAGCAGGAAAAATGCGAATTTTCTCCTTCAGAAATTAGACTTGTAGCAGATATTGTGAAGTTGCTCTGGCGCCTACACCTTCGATTTTTTGGAAGCGAAAAACTGTATTGTGTGGCCCTTACGAATTAGCCTTAAATGTCTTGTGAGTCGAAAGAGCGTCGTTCGCAAGAGTATTCAGAACCTGCCTTCCAGTAACCTGCGTTCTGAAGGTTCACGCTGCTGATGTAAGCCGAAGCTTTAAGCGGATGTTTCACACTTCGGAGGCTGTAAAAATGCCATGGAGCTATGAGAGTAGTAATGGGATGCAGCTTTGCACAAATGATATTTGCAGCCTAACATTCATTCTGATATGCTTCATTCTTCGAATGAATGTTCGTGTCTGGTAATAAATGCCAAACTGTGCGTACGAATGACACGCTGCTGCGCAGCTTATTGTGGGTAAGTGGAAATTTCTGTGGTTATTTCAGCTCCTTGTGAATGTGACGTTTGTCAAAGTTGAGAGTTAGGAAACTCAGTGGTTCCACATGTTCAGTGTCTATAATCA